CGGGCATGCGCTGCTCTGTCCCGCGGCCACCCACTAAGGACACAATTGCAGGACGCAGCCCTGGAGCCACCCGGGCGCCCTTTGTGTGCCCCTGAATTGTACAAAAGCAAAGCACCGCAGCCGTGCCATCGCAACCCTCACTCGCCGTTGCACTTAACAGCCCACCTACAACCGTAGCCGACCGCGCAGATCGTGCCGTAACCTGTAACGTGCTTGTTCTGGCAGCCCGCCCAATTGAGCTAGTTCCCTCGTGTTCCTGGTGGCTCCCCATTTCTATCAAGCGAACCTCACCATTCATTCCCTCGCAAGCATCGCTCCATCGCTCATCGCTCTCTTGCTCCCGCCGCGACAACTAGCTGTATCCGCCTCTGCACGAGCTCGAATGCGTAATCGGCCCTCGTCCGCCTAATCCTATTACTTCTGTTCTCCAGGCACTCCGGTGATCTGTCTATTCCGCCCGCCTGCTGCTGTACAGCACCCGTACCATAATCGACACCCGCCCAGTCTCCGTCACTCCTTCGCGGCCTCCCTCGCCGTCGAGCTGCACCCCGCCCCGGACTGGATCCAACCCGTGTCGTCGTCTTCACTGTACACCAGGCTGCGCTGTGCTGAGCCCGGTCTTGCTGGCAATAATCCCTCGCCTCACATTCCTTTGGCCGGCACCAACCCTCCTTCGATCCCTTACCCTGGCTTTGGTAACCGAGTCACGACGACTATTCTTCCCTATTAGACTACCCAGGTCACCGCAGGGTCTGTAATCCATAATGGCTCCCACCACCAACCGCCCCGAACACCACATCAACCTCAACTACATCCCCCAGCTGCCCCAGCCGCCGCACTCGGGCTCCTCGACGGGCAACACCTCGCCTGTCGAGCCGCCCAACAGCGGCTCTCTGCGCTTCGCTGGCAATGCCCCGAACCCGCTCGGCAACGCGAGGCTCGGGAACGGGTCCCCGTCGCATGACTATGGCGGCCGCCTATTTTCCAAACGGTATGTCGCACCCTGAAACAAGTTCCGACTCGTGCTAACACCCTGACAGTGCACGCGAGATTCAGGCACAGGAGGGCTTAACTCCGCAAATGTGGGGACCTCCTACCAGCGGGAATTCCACGCCGCTGCGCGAGACCATCCCCGAGTCCCCCAACAGCGAGAACTTGAGCTTCCCCGACTTCAACAACGCCGTGCCAGACACCATGTCAGCTGCACCTGCTCCCAACCGTCGCGCCCGCGCTGGCACCCTGCCCTCCCGCTTCTCCCCCTCCGCTGCCCCTCCCGGCCTCATGTCCGGCAGCTCGCTGCTCCCCAAGAGCTCCCGGCCAACACCCTCGACGAGCCCCTTCAAGCCTGGGCCAGGCACACCGACCGACAATTCGAGCTTCAACGCGCTCGGGTCTACAAACGCTGCGGCCAAGTCTGCACTGCTCTCACGTCTGCGTGCTGGCTCAATGCCTCAGCGACCGGGTGGCTACCTCCCTCCCTCCAACTCGCCGTTCGGCAACTCCATCTTCTCGGGCGGTTGGTCAAACCAGCGTGACCGCAGCAGCACACTCCAGAGCATTGCCTCGGTGCCGTCAAACGGACAAGGCTCGCCAAGGTCTTCCTTCTCGCGCGACTCCCTCGCCGACACCGATGTCAAGACCCTGGACTACCTTGGTCTGGTCGACACCCCGCAGCCTGCACGAGCTACCCTGGCTCCGTCCGACATCGAGCTTCTCCTCGAGAGCCAGAGGAACGCCAACAACCAGAACTCCGGTGGTGCAAACCGCTTCCGTTCCTACTCTGTCAATGCTAAGGAGAAGTACGCTGAAGAGGAGGAGGATCAATATGGCGCATACAGCGGCACCATCACTCCTGCCGAAGCCAACGCCCTTCTCATCCACGAGGCTGTTCGCCAACACAACCTCGAAGTTCAGGCCTTTGCGAACCTCGCTTCCAACGCGCGTCCACGTGCTCGCACCGCCGGCGTGCTAGATGCTCCTTCGCGGGGCATGATGCGGCCCTACTTGCCCGCCATGGGCCGATTTGACAACGGCATGGGAACCGGTGACTTGACTGAGGATGCAGAGTACAACCTTACTGAGGCTGTCAAGAAGCTCCACTTGCCTGGCTCAAACCTCGGCGACGATGGAACTCTGGAAGGACCCACTCGCTCGCTGTGGCTTGGCAACATCCCATCTTCGACCACCGTTTCGTCGCTACAGGTCATCTTCGCTCAGTACGGTGGGATTGAGTCTACCCGCGTCCTCACACACAAGAACTGCGGTTTCGTCAACTACGAGAATCTTGAGAGTGCCGTCCAGGCAAAGTCGACTTTGAACGGAAAGGAGATCTTCCCTGGTGCTGGCCCCGTTCGCATCGGTTACGCCAAGATTCCAAGCGCAGCAGCCACCCCCGGCCACAATGGTCTGTTCCCTTCACCAAGCCCTGACCCACTGTCAAAGGCTCAGGCTGAGGGCACAGCTGGCTCTGCCGCCGCTACCAAGGTGGCCAACATTCCCGCGAATGTACCTTTGACCACCCCAGAGCTCAGCGACATCCGCACCGACATTATCCAGATTGTCAAGGAGTTGGGCGCCACAGACGACGAGCAGACAAGGATCACTACTAAGGTCGAGAAGGCTGTTCAGTTCAACAACTACGTCGACGAGATCCCATCTGTCGAAGAGCCGAGCCACACTCGCATTCACGACGCTCCTAGACTGCGAGAGATCCGCAAGCGCATCGACAACGGATCCTGCTCCAAGGAGGACATTGAGAACATCGCCATGGCCATGCTCCCAGAAATCGCTGAGCTGTCTTCTGACTATCTTGGAAACACTGTTGTGCAGAAGCTGTTCGAGTTCTGCGAGGAGCCTACCAAGGAAGCCATGCTTCGCGAGATCGCACCCCACCTAGCCAAGATTGGTGTGCACAAGAACGGAACATGGGCTGCGCAGAAGATCATCGATGTGTCCAAGTCGGAGACTATGCAGAAGATGGTCGTGGATGCTGTCCAACCTTATGCTATGGCTCTCTTCCTCGACCAATTCGGTAACTACGTCATGCAAGGCTGCCTCAAGTACCAGAAGTTCAACGACTTCATCTTTGAGGTCATGCTGGGTAGACTCTGGGATCTCGCCCAAGGTCGATTCGGTGCCCGTGCCATGCGAGCTTGCTTGGAGAGCCACTATGCCACCAAGGACCAGCAGCGCATGGTAGCTGCTGCAATCGCTCTTCACAGCGTGCAGCTCGCAACCAACGCGAATGGTGCCTTGCTCCTGACCTGGTTCCTCGATACCTGCACCTTCCCAAGGAGGCGTACGGTCTTGGCTCCCCGCCTAGTTCCGCACATTGTCCACCTCTGCACACACAAGGTTGCATACCTCACCGTCCTGAAGATCATCAACCAGCGCAACGAGCCAGAAGCTCGTGACACTATCCTACAGGCACTCTTCTTCTCTCCCAACGATCAGGTATTGGAAAGCATCTTGGCCGACCAGAACTGCGGTGCCACCTTGATCTTCAAGGTACTCACCACTCCATTCTTCGATGAGCAGATCCGTGCGGATGTAGTAACAAACGTTCGCAACGTTCTTCTTCGCATCAAGGCGCAGCCCCAACAGGGCTACAAGCGACTCATGGATGAGGTAGGTCTTTCCACTCGTGGCGGACCTGGTCATCGTGAGCACTCCGCAACCCGGCCAGCGTCTAAGGACAGCATTGCATCTGGACCGCCAAACCCTGGGCAATTTTATCAGGGAGCGGCAGCTGGCTTCGACCCTGTCGCACTCCAGCGCACAGCAAGCATGGACTCCAATGGCTTCGAGCAATACCCAATGGGTGGTGGACCCATGTACATGCCAAACATGCAGGCCATGAACAACCAGCAGCAGATGCAGTACCAGCAGCTCCTGGCCCGACAGGGTCAGTTCTACCCTCAGATGAACGGCTTCCAAGGCCCCGTTCCGGGCATGGATGCCTACCGCAACGCGTCACCTGTTGCAGGCCCCGGCAGCTTCAACGGATCACCGATGATGCAGCCCGCCAACCTCGCCGGTCAGGGCATGCCCGGCATGTACCCTCCATATGGCATGTACATGCCACCCCAGCACCAGCAGGCGGCTGGAGGCAACCAACGACGTGGCAGAGTAAGCAGAAATGCGTCCCCTGCTAACAGCGTCCGCCGTTAACATCTCTTCAGAGATAAAAATCGCCTCGCCTGAGGGTTTAGATTTTCATCTCCTCTTAGAATTTACTGTGTTGCCAGGAAAAGCAGCACTATCTTCCTGTATATGATTCGGATCTTCACCTACAACGCATCTGCTAGCGAGCATTTTTTGCAAAGCGGCATAACACCATACTTGCCATGTCTTCTCCTTTGCTTGTCTTCGGACTCTTACGATTTTCATATCCTTTCTTCACTCAAATCGGCACGTGGGCTATCTGTCGGCCGACGATCGTCCTGTCTCGTCACTCGCTCATAGCCATCTCGCTTGGTGTTTCGGGGCGTACTTTGAGCAATGTTCTTCAATGTAGTCACGAGTCGAGGGGCTTAGCTTACCTTGACTCTGTCGATCGGATCGGATGATCGCTGTATCGATATGAAATGCGCATATGAAGAGTTTGGTTGGAATGATATATGCGATCTGGTGACAACGCAAAAGTACCGCTATATGGCATGACATAGGATCTTTGGGATGTTGGGACGTTTAGGTCCTCTTCCCCTGCGCTGCGAGGGAGAATAGGGGATCGAGCTCGAGCTTGCGAGCTAGGTAGAATCGAGATTTTTGCTACTACTATGTATCGCTGTTTACGTGTCGTTAGGTGTTCTGATGTTGAAGCTTTGTCCGTCGTAAGACTCATGGTAGCAGTCAGAGCGCGGACAGCGCAGTCATATTGCCTTCAACACAACTTGTTACACTTCTGGTTCTCGACACTACAACTTCCTTTGAATTTGTTACTTTGTTCCCGCTGAACAACCAAAATCTCGATCCTCCAAGCCGCCACTTTCACGGCCACAATGAGCTCAGCCTCAGCCTCCTCACAGGCTCCGCTGGATGCCAACAAGCTCATTCTCGATCACGTAATACACTACCGGAGCCGCCCTGGAATCGATCTACGGCCGGGCTGCACGAACTGCGACACCCTCGATCGCCTTGTGCAGTTAATACCAGCTGAATGGACCTGGACCCGTGACAAGAACGACTGTCACAGGGAAGGACTTGAGCAGTTGATAGCATCCGATGGACACAAGATATATCTCCTTGAAGCAAAGATAAATCTTGAAGATGTGTATGGGTCTGAGGATTTTAGGATGAAGATGGGCTTGGGTGATCTGGACGTCAGTGGGAAAGGTGTATGGGTAACTAAGGGTTGTAAGTAGGACACTAGTCGTTCATTTGTAATAACTGGACTGACAATCAGAGCAGTATTAACTGCGTGGACAAAGCTCCTGAAGCGGTATATGGAGAAAGGAACGTGGAGCGAAATCACCGATAAGCCAAAGCTGGAGGTGTACAAGCCCATAGACCGGCAATTCAGGTCAGACAGCTTGGACATCATCGAGTTAGGAACGAGGATAACAGGCCAATGTATACGTACTCCAAAGAAACGTACATGGCATAAGCTAATATCATTTACAGTGATACTTTTGTGCAATCAGCCGATCGCATTTTGGTTCAATGATTGCCTATATCCATCCAGGAACGTACGCAGAATAGTCCGCAGTGACGAAGTCGGCTATACGAATGGCTATACGAATGACGGGACTGTCGTGGAGGACGTCAAATTTATCAACAGCACGTTGCCTGATAAAGAACATTGGCATCTTTCCCGGCCGCGTGACACAAACAAGCCCCTGCTGGAGAGCTGCATAAAGGACGGACTGGGCATAGTGGTAGGAGAAAAGCGTGGGTGTATATGCCCTCGAACGTATGATGGCCGCTGGTGGACCAAGGACTGTAAGTTGACTGAATGATGTTGAATGGATCTGGCATGATGCTGACGATAAGGCAGTGCTTCAGGCTCATACCAAAGCGAAGACGAAAGCTTGCAAGGACGATGAAGAGAAAAAATTCACAGAGGAGAAAATTCGGTTATGGATGAAGGATCTGCATGTAACAGAAAATAGGGTGAGTGATGTGTAGAACCGCGCGTCGGGCCTCCGAAATGCAAGTAATTGAGGCTCTTTCTGCTTTACAGTCTTGAGGCCGTGTTAACGCTGTCATAAGTTAGATACCTCAGTCAACGTCTTTCCTGACTCTTGCCGGCGCGCGTACGACTTCCACAGTTGATATGTGACTGGGCTGTGACTGGACCGTGACTGGTATACTGCACACACATACGTAGTGTAGTCATCCTGACAGTCACTGCGCAGGTTTTTATGGTCCTAAGCATCTACTCTTATAACCTCTCACACCCTTCACAGTACCAAAACTTCGGTCAGATATTGTCATGAAGTTCAAGAAACTTTTTAGCTACTCTTCCACATGCTCAAAAGGCCCCGCGCCGATCGAGCCAGAGCTCTACTTGATAACTTATCCTGAGAAGCTTGCCAAAGAAGGTAACGTGCCTGATGAGAAGAAGATCAAGGCCCTCACAAACCTACCATTCCTCGAAGAATGGGTCTTCAAACTTATGAAGGACGTGGACTTCCAAGGATGGGAGGTTATAAAGATCGGCGGCATCACATACGAAAAGGCCAAGGGAAACTACAAGATCGAGGATGGAGATCCTGTGGAAATTCCAGAGGGCGAAGAATGGCACTCAGATGGCAAAGGACGATGGGCTACGTTTGGAGGTATGTCGACGTACGTAGAATCACGTACAAATTTATAAACTAATGCACTATCTAGTTCTGGCAAGACTTAGAGGTTCTAGATTTTATCGCATATACTACAGTACCAGGAGAAATTATCCTGGTACCTCCGCTTGGGGCTACACCAATGAATTCCACATGTTCGACAGGTTCGACAAAACATTGTCGTTACCGACCGATATATTCATAGCTCACAGACACTTTATCGCCCGAAACGAGAGGGATATCAAAGAAGCTAAGGAAAAGGATGGGGGAGCTGTGCCTATCGACGAAGATCTTGCGCACGGGAATACTGGGGACAGTGGATGGATCACGAAAGGCTGTAAGTCGCTCCTTTAGAACAGGAAAATATACCACGATAGCGACGCTAAACGATTGTCTAGTGCAAGACACGTATCTTGATTATCTTAAGTTTCTGGCTCAAGAGAAATCTCGAAAAGACAGCCGAAGCTAGCGCTATCGAATGTTATGGTGGATAGCAGATGATGAACACGAGTGTGGTGGCTGGAGCTTCTGTTTCGAGCTTGTATCCCGGTTAATGAGCCTTTTTGTCTAGGGATTGCAGACGTTTAAGCGATAAAGCATAGTAATAGAGTTGGTCGCATTGATTGAGGTCTCACCAACTTGGTCAGAACTACTCACTGAGATTCGACATTAGATGCCTAGACAGAATGGCTGAAAAGAAAAGTGTTGAAGGAAGCAGGAATGAACGAAGAGAAAGGTAAGACATGTTGAGCTCAGTGTCAACGACGACCCATCCTGCGAATGTTCCCGTCACTCATTCTTTGACTCACCTGCTGATTCATAGTAGAATGTAGTCACTACTGTACACTCATACCCCGTTCTGTCATTGTCGCAGTCAGCGTATGAATGCTTACATCTTGGTGTATCTGCCCTTACACTTCAACACACTCTTCACAACACCATTACTTCGATCAAATCCTCTCTTATACATTCATGGCTATCAGGATATCTCGCTTAGTTACCGACTTGACGGAAAAGTTAGAGCTCTACCTTGTTTTCTTTCCCATAAGGCTTCCTCGAAAAGGAGAATGTGCTGCAGACGATATCGACATCGGCTTCACTAATTCTTCCGTCGTAGGGAAGGAACTCATCAAGGCATTGGCCAGACACCCCGACCTACCGAGATGGGAAGTCGTGGACCTGAGTGCCCTGAGCAAGATCGCGAAGGAGAGAATTCTGAACCACTACAACATCAAGAAAGAGGACCTCTATGAGCCACACGGGTGGGAATCACTATTTCATGGGTTTTGGATCACTTCTGAGTGTATGAAAAGTCACATAGACTTATAATAGACTACACGGACTGACATACTGCGTAGTACTTTCCATGCTCGAACTTGCCAAGTTGCACAAGATACAGTACGAATGGAACTCCGGTGCGGATTGTTTTGTGAAGATCGGTTACACGAACAAGAAAGTCATCGCCGACAACGTCAAATCTATCTGGGAAGGGAAAATACATGTGGAGCTCATCCTGGTAAAGAACCAAGAAGAGCTCAAGAAGCTCCGGGAGGAGGACGGGGGACCTAAGTATCCTTCTCAACCACTTACATACGAGGGTGAGGCCGAGGGTTGGATTACAGACGGCAGTAAGTTCTACCTGCAACGTTCAAATGAGTAGCATGAGAGTGGTACTAAAAACTTCTTTAGTATGTCTTGCATCCCGCTTTTGCTGAGCAGGAGGATGATCGGAGTTATGACGCTGAGATTCGGCATCATAATCCCCCAGTGGTTCCATAGAAATAAGTGAAGATACAGCTCGAGCCCCAGACCTCTGCCGATGGACTTATGGTTTTCTGGTTTCTGCTGCCGGCTATACTAATGGCATTTTATCTGGGTCTTCCAACTATGTATGTCATGGACGTATCGCATCATGCTTTACCCTCTGGCTCAGACGTGATTTGCTGCAGTCAACAGTCACAGTTCAAAGTGTCACTCCTCGCTAATCGACTCACCATGTCGATGGAGCGGTTCCAATAGTCATTTGGCATGTGTCAGACTGCGTTATGTTCACAGTAACCCACACCATCGAACCTCTACGCAACGCTTCACTGCACCACACTGCATCCATTAGGTCACCATCACCTATAACGACGATGCCCCAAATTTATTTCATTACGTATCCAGATACTCTTTCACAGAAGGGCATCGGCCCCGAAGAGAAGACGAAAGTCGGCCTCACAAACCACAAGCCCCTGCAAGTACTCGTTGACAAATTCGCCAAATATAGATATTGGAAAGTTGAAGTTCGATTTATCACGAAACAGGCGGCTAAAAGAAGAAACAAACGCAAACATCAGGATGGAAGTCTCGTAAATATTGCTCTTGGGGAGTGGGAGTCTGATGGTAATGGTCGGTGGGCTACTGCTGGGTGTATGTAAATCACGCAACCCAACCTCATGTTGGATGAGCTGATGTGTTTAGTGATGGCAAATCTCAATAGCCTCAAACTACTTTACGAGATTGAATACCTCGATGAACCTATCCCAGGCGTGCGAAACGATTTCATGACCAGCTACACATGCAGTCACATCATCGGCAAGGGTATTGAGTACATCTTGGAGTCACCGCATTCGTCCTGTTCGGAATTTGTCAAATGCGATGTAATCATCTATGAGAATGAGAAAGAACTCAGAGAATACCAGGACAGTGATGGAGGATGTGAGCGTCTCTTGACAAATGACAAGGATGGGAAGATCGTTGACGATGGATGGATGACGAAAGGCTGTAAGTTTTCCTTGCGGTAGTTGGAAACGTTTCGGAGAAGCTATGCTAAACAACAGTCCAGTGTTTGCCGTATGTAAAGTGGCTGCGGCATCAATTCGCCAAGAGCAAAAGAAAGCAAGATGTGCGACTACTCAAGAGCAAGAGAGAGCAGAAGAGAGCGAGGTGTGCAGTTACATGAGATTCATCCAGACAAGGAATTCAGCAGCAGACATCGGCTGAGATTGCGGCGACTAGAGATAAGGCCTCAATCCTAGACATCCATTAAAGAACAAGTATGTTCAAGCTGCGTTGTGCAATGAAACGTGGTGATAGACTCAGGAGCGTCGGCTACAATGTCGCCATATTTACTATGACTACTTACCCCTTGACTCGTTGGAATATCGTAGTCAGCAGTGACCACGTAGAGCCGTGACAAACTATATCTTTGTTACTGAACTACTCATCACTAGGACTCATCGTGGTAGTCACAGTGTACGCCTATCAAAGTGTTAGATATCCAGACCTACAAGATTCTATAGTCGACTTCATTCCTGAAACCTACATCAGTTTCGAGCTCCTGTTCAACGCCACCACATCTATTGAACCAGCCCCCAAGCCTCTACTAGCCTCGACTATGTCAGCCCCAACCGATGAAACTCAGCAAAAGACTCCAGGTCCGCTCTTCACCGTCTACGAGATACCCTATTGGTCGCGCAAAACCGGTTACGATACTGGCTACACGGACAATCCAGGTATATACTGGACAGCTCGAAAGATACCTTATTGCAATCGACCTTCAGCTGTCCCCGAAAAACTTGAGGTCACCGCCACACAGCTCAAACGCTTGAAAGGGCTAGACAAAGGAAGCGAACCGCTGAAGAACCGCCAACGAGAGCTCCTCTTCTGTTTCAAAAACTGGCCTAAGGACGCCATAGACTACCTCGGCTACGAAGAACATGACGAAAACTATGAGGTTTCAGAGGATCAATGGGCAACGGGCGGCTGTAAGTCTCTTACACGTAATTCTTGACTAGATAGTTTTGCTAACGAGCTACGCAGTACTTGAATTCCTCGGAGACGTTTTATTTTATTAATGTTATCGGAGGTTCCGCGGCCGAACAAGCCATTCGTTCTTAATCCAGAACGTGGAGCGAATTTGATGCGAGAAACGCCAGATTGATATAGTCATAGTTGTTCGACTATTCAAGACTTGAGACCCCTTTGTCCTGTCTCACTTGGAGATCTTTGTGTCATGATAGTTTGGAGAGCCATCTTGATTACTCAAATGATTTGCCGATGTTATGGAGATGTAAATCATCACAAGACGACGTGCCGTGACGAATGGGCTTATGTTATGCGGCCTCTGAAGTCACGTTGTTGAATGAACATCTGCCTGGAGGAGGGAAATGATGACTGACGATATCAATCACCTTTGGGATAGAGTGAAGCTCCTCGCAACTATCTGAGCGACACACAAATGTTCACACCACCATAAGCAAGACGCCTGTGACGAAGTCAGACCACGGAACTACCGTATAATGAACAACAAAACTTCGATTTTTGCCGCCCTATATGAACTGAGCGTGGGTATCATCAACTGCGTGAACGCGCCATAACTCCCTGACAAATCCAACTACATCTTAAACGTTGAAACACATTGCTAGTAGCAACCCCTAGGTTCTCATAGCGTCAAAACCCAAACACTCAGTGACCGTTGAGACCATCGCTAAATTTCCGCTTCTTAGCCTCGCGCTCACCATCCTGAGGCGGGCGGTATTGGTCCAGCTTGCCCTGTAGCCGGTACGACTCCCTCTTGATATTTTCGGCATTAGCCAAAAGGTCCATCTCGGTAACCGGAGCTTCAATACTAGCCAGCACGCTCCTAACAGTGCTGATATGATTGGCATCCTTCTTGTCGTCGCGCCAGCGCGGCGTACCGTCCGCCTCAGCCTTGTATTTCCACTGTCCACCTTCTGTGCGGTAACATTCTATGATACGGCCGTCGAGGCGTTGGTTCAGGGATTTGAGTGTTTCCCATTCGGATGGGGTGACGGAGAGGGTGGCGAAGACTTCGTAGTGGTTCGCGTTGTGCTGCACGAGCAGCTGTAGGGGGGTGGGCATGGCGTCGTAGTCGGGGATGAGGCCGTCTTCGCCGTCTTGCGGGTCTATGAGCGGGAAGTCGCCGAGGCGGAGCTTGAAGTCGATGGTGTTCTCGTGCGGTGGCTTCCACTTGAGGATGTGTCTGTCGGTACCGAACTGGTAGGGTGTGGATACGCAGGTGAAGATCAGGCCGTCGTTGCCGTGTCGGAGGTTGGGGAGGATGCTGCTGAACATGTCCTCTAGCTTGTATGCAGGGTAGGTCTTCTTTCCTTTGAGTGCAAACGGCTTCAGGTCGTCTGGTGTAATGTTCTTGCCAAATGTCCTAGTCAAGCCGGCTTCGTACGGCTTGATGACCCATTCATGCAGCCGGCCCAACCGCTTGTCTAGTGTCCTTTGTGTCACATTTGTATTATCTACCGCCAAGCAATCGAAGACATAAAAGTTCAGACGTGGCGCCGGCTCGTTTGGATATTGGTCGTGGACCAGCTCGCCGTCCAGAAGAGTTCCGAATAAGAATGGCTCGGCTTCGTTCAGGTGCTGGTAGTGACGTATGCGAAATGGAGGCTGGACGTTGTAGTAGTTGTTCTTCCTGTCGATCAGGAAAGTCACAGGCTCGAAAGCTCCGGTCGGTCCCTCTTGCCAGTGCAAGTAGAGCAGGCAGCGCAAGCCGTCCGTCTTCTCGCACATGTAGTATTCATTGCGTTGGAGCTCGGTGACGTGTTCGCGCGAAAAGGATACGGGTTGCGCGCCGGGAAAGCGCGGATTGTCGCGTTCGAGGAGTTCGGCGACAGATTGCTTGAGTGAATGCGCCTCGTCATTTGGGATCTGGAAGCCTGGAATCTGCGGCGGCGCGTGCGATGGTAGCGTGGCGGCCGGCATATTGGGAAGATACTGGAGGTATTCGAGGCTCCGTGAGAGTTGGGACGTCGAGCGCGATCAATTTCGTATGCGGGAGCGGCTGCAGGAGGGTTGGTTCTCGTCCGCAGTCGCAACAGTAGTTGTACAAGCGATGGATCGACCGGGCGAGCTTACGCGCTAGTGAAGGGTCTGCTTATGTAATCGCTGGCTACGGCTGCCTAGGCACGGCTGTGGCATGGCCCATCATGCTTCTGACCTCGCCTAAGATTCAGGGAAGCCTTGATGTATCCGCACTACAGTTCCCACCATGCCGATTGTCTTTTGTCGCATCAATTCCGTTAAACGTCATTCTGCCAGCGTACCGACTGCCCGATATAATCTATTGCAACCATGGTACTACGACCACGCACAACGCCGCGCCTATAAGCCATTACCAAGCATATGACACCAACATAGAAACTGAAAACTCAGAGGCATAAATTCCTTTGCTCTTGCCGAGACTTCTCTCCCTGTTCAACAGAATCATCACCACAATTCTCACATCCAGTTACTGCCAGACTCCATACATACGATGAGCGACTTACCCACTGAGATATGGGCCATGGTGTTCGCATATTCCGACGATACCGAACACCTCTGGCTTTCCTGCCGTCACGTCTCCAGCAATCTGAAGGCTGCCGTCGAAATATACACCAGCACCATCTTCCTCCCAAATTTCCTCACGGTATCCCTCGAATATCAGAGAAAAAACAAATCGACCATATCCTGCAGTCGCGGTCTTTTCAAAGGATACTCCCCAGACAAAACCCTTGCTTACTTCGATATGAGCCGTAACGACCGGCCATTCATTCAGTACATTGACACGCAGCGAATGTGTCTCTACGTCGACAAACTACAAAGGGGATGGACAAACAAGGGGTTTGAAGTGCTGGCGAAATTGAAAGGGCCAGATCACGACCGTGCGATCTTTGTCAGACTTTTGGATGGCGTCACTGCTAGCCCTGCGGATACTAACGAGGGAGTTCTCACCTTTGGGCTCGACTTGGAAGATAAGATCCTGTCCTTTGACTGGCGAGAGGTCATGACTAAGAGCTTCATGGATAGTACTGATTGCGGAGGATATCTTATCGACCACCTGGCGTGGCGCGGTCGTGATAACAGGTTTCCCTGGTGGTGTTAGTGGTGGTTTTGGACTGCTCCATCGGAGATGAAGTCGGGAATGTCTGTGGGATGAAAAGGAAGAAACAGCTCTGATGTGTTGCTAAGGATAGGCTCTATCGCGATTGCACGTATCAAATGGAGAGTGTTTGAGGGCTGTATAAGAGGTTTTGTTGGCACTGAACTCCAATCAAAGGGTATGTAGTCTAATGGCCAAGACGCCCACTCTCTCGAGGGTGTCGTCGGGCTAATGAGCTCGACGGTTCATGGAGATGCGGGTTCGAGTCTCGTCATATCCAACTACCTTTTGCTACTTGAGTCGTTCTTTGGCCGGTCTATTGGAGATAGACTTAGAGATGTCTGGCGAGGGACAACAAAGAACGCTCATGAACAAAGCGGCGAAGAAGCGCCACAAGGGCTGTATATCGTGATCAAGAACCTTTTGGCAGTACATAAGAGGTATTGTATGTGTTAAACCTCAGTCAAAGGGTACATGGTCTAATGGCAAAGGCGCCCACTCTTACGCAAGTGAGAGTGACGCTGGACCCAGCCGGTAACGGTTGGCAATCCAGTGGAGAGGAGATGCGGGTTCGAGTCTCGCTGTATCCAATTGCATTTTGCTGCTTGCATTGTTTTTGTCTTCATAGTTGTCATCTCGTTCTGGATTTGTGCTTCTTGGTCGACACATAGTCCTAGCCAGTCTGAGGACTAGAGACTGCTGTACTTTAGCTATCTCGTCAAACAAAACAAAGGATCAACCAAAATACTTCAAGTTCCCGCAGCTATGTGTGCTGGGGTAGGCCAATGTTTTGTTAAGAGGTAGACGTTGGTGGACGCGAGCATACCGAGCTCGCTTTTCACTAGAAGGCCAGGCCTTATATTGGGAAAAAGCGCCTCAGCATCCAAGCTTTCACTTGATTCAACGCCACTTCCTCGTACTATGGAAGGTCTGCGCTTTTTTTCGAAAGGGCAGATTAGGTGTTCTAATATAGGCCTTCAAGTTTTCGAAGAGCAACCCATGCATAACTCCACCGAAACCGCCATGTTGTTGCCAACCCTTTCCCTCTTTCTGACATTCGTCACCGCTTGTCCACCGCCTCTTAACAGCTTCAAATATGTGGCCAATGATACCCACACAACATCACAGATGATCTCAAGTCTACTCGTATCCAGAGACGAATCTTCTCCACTAAATCGCAGATGGACTGAGATTGTGACTATGGTATACTCATCCCTACGCTCCAACGCCTGACGACCAACTGACCGTTCAGCTAGACCGGACAGCCACGAACAGTATGGCCCGACGGACTGGTCCGATACTGTTACGAAGACGAGAGCGCCCGTAATAACTTCAAGGATGACATCGACGCAGCCTGGAAACTCTGGGTGGACAAGATCGGTGAACCCGGTTGCCCAAGCGGTCACATACTCCAGTTCAGGGAGTACAGAGTCAAGGAAGGCGTGTGGCCATACTGTTACAACAAACGCGAAAAGGACGATGACCCCTGGGTCTGGAATAAGCACGTCAAAAACGACATTGCCGTTATCGCGGAGTCCAAAGATACTGAGACTCAAGCCTCTTCAGTCACGGGATACATACCTAAAGACTGGAGTGACGAGCAAGGTCGGCACGGCATCCATCTCGGTCTCGCCTTCAAGCAAAAATACCCGCCAGATTACTGGATCACAACTGTGGCCCATGAACTAGGCCACCTATTCGGCTTCTGGCACGAGCACCAACGTGAAGACCGCAACGACTACGTTCACTTCGACTGCTCCAAACTGCGGGGTTACGCAGCTGCGAAAGCGAAGGTCGAAGCAGCCAAGGAACATACCATGGAGCAAGTCTGCGCCGACTACCGTCTAGCTCTCCAATACGACTTCCCCGCTGTCCAAGACTACGATACGATTGACCATATCGCGCCTCTCCGCGAGGGGGGCATTGAGTTACCATTGTACATCAACAGTGACATAGAGT